TAAGTCCTCTTCACTTTCAGTAAGCAAGGTTGTATCATCTGCATATCACAGGTTTTTTATGAGTCTTCCTCCAATCCTGATGCCTGTCTGGCTAGGTCCACGTATATAGTTGCTGTTTATGTTATTGTGAAAAGTATTTGCAATAAATAAGTACTTGGTCTTGCAAAATTCTATCGTGAGATGTCCAGCATTGTTTCTATCGATATTTTATGACTACCAATCCTTCCTCTTTGTTCCCAACTATCAAGCATCAGTAATGATCAGTGCATCTTGATTGTATGTTTGATCAATTTCAGACTGTTGTTAAGTACAGTTGAGTCCGTTCCACCTCATAGAGATCCTGTGTAGAGTTTCCAAGGATCTGCTGGTGGATTTGAACCGTTAACCTTAGCAGTGCAGTACTTATTCTAAAGCACCACACCAGAACTTAATTTCTTCAACTTTGGCATTAGTGGTTGGTGCATAAATCTGAATAATAGTAATATTAATTTTTCTTTCTTGTAGATGTATAGATATTATTCTATCATGATCAGCATTGTATTTCCAGATAGATGTTGAAATGTTCTGTTGGATGGCGGATGCGACACCATTCCTCTTCAGGTTGTCGTTCCTGGCGTAGAAAACCATCCGAGTGTCAGATTCGAAATGGCCAATGCCAGTCCATTGCAGCTCACTAATGCCTACAATATCTATCTTCAACTGTTCCATTTCATTTTTGACAACTTCCAATTTTTGTAGATTCATACTTCATACATTCCACATTTTCATTATTAATGAATGTTTGCAGCTGCTTCTTTTCATTGCAAGTCATGCCACATCAGCAAATGAAGGTCCACAAAGCTTTCCTCCATCTTTGTCATTAAGTGGGTGTCTTAGAGAAGGAAAACCAGTGAAACACTGTTGTTGTTACTAAGTGCTGTCTAGTAAGTTCCAAGTCACAGCGACCCTATGCAGAGTTTCTGAGGAACGGTTGGTGCTGCTCATGCAGTTCAAACCAACCTTACAGTCCATTGCAACACGCCAGGGACGCCAGTGAAACACATGCACACACACATATGTACATATGTTTATTATCAAGGAAATAGGTTACAATTGTGGAGTCCCAGATCCCCTGCGGAAAGAGAGAGAAAGAGCCTTTTCCACGTGTCCATTACACTGGGAGCAGGCCACACCCCCAAGGAAACATCTTTTCAGTTGATTGGCTGTCCATGGCCACTCATCATAGAATTAACCATGTCTGTATTAGGTTTCATTTTCTTGGGAATAAGCGCATCCTGGTGTGGCACTGTGGATTAATGCGCCAGACTGCAAAGCTGTTTGAACTGCAAGGTCGGTGGTTCAAGCTCACCAGCTGCTTCTCGGAAACCCTTTACAGGGGCGCTATGGGTTGGGATCGACTCGTATGGCACTTAACAACAACAACAACAACTGCTTGTTAAGTGCCATTGAGTCAGTTCCGATTCATAGCCACCCTGTACAGGGTTTCTGAGGCTGTAAATCTTTACTCTTTATGGGAGCAGAAAGCCTCATCTTTCTCCTGTAGATCAGCTGGTAGTTTTGAACTAATAGTGTTTCCGAGGAGCGGCTGGTGAGCTTCAACTGCCGATCTTGTTCAAACTGACTTTGCAGTCTAACACATTAACCCACAACACCGCAAAAAACCTTATTACAGGTGGACTCTGCTTTGAGTAGACTTTTCTTTTAAAGTATTGAAAAGCAAAGATGTCAGCTTGAGGACTAAGGTGCACCTAACTCAAGCCATGGTATTTTCAGTAACCTCATATGGATGTGAAAGCTGGACAGTGAATAAGGAAGACCGTAGAAGAATTGATGCCTTTGAGTTGTGGTGTTGGAGGAGAATACTAAAAGGGCCATGGGCTGCCAAAAGAACAAACAAACTTGTGTTGGAAGAAGTGCAGCCAGAGTGCTCCTTAGAGGCCAAGATGGCCAAACTTAGTCTCTCATACTTTGGACATATTGTCTGGAGGGAACAGTCGCTGGAGAAGGAGATCATGCTTGGTAAGATGGAGGGTCAGAGAAAAAGAGAAAGACCTCCAACGAGATGGATCGGCCAGGTGGCAGCATCGATGGACTCAAAGTGAGGTTGGCCCAGGATCGGACATTGTTTCATTCTGCTGTGCATAAGGTCGCTATGAGTCGGTGCCGACTCGATGGTACCTAACAACAACAACTGCTTTGAGGGGTAGCATGAGAGCTTAGTAGGATAAGCACTGGACTGAGAGCCAGAAGTTCAGAGGCTTGAGCCCAGCAACTACTCTGTGGGAAAGAGGTGAGAATTTCTATCTCCCACAAAGATTTATAGCCTCAGAAACTCTATTGGGATGGCTGTGAGTCAGAACCAACTCAATGACATTTAAGAACAAAAACTACTTTAAGGAGACGACAGCTCCTCCCTAGTTGTATTTTGAGTAGCTTCCAGCCTGAGGGACTCATCGTAAAGCATTATATCAGACAATATTCCACTGTTTACCAAAAGGTTTTCACTTGCTAATTTTTTCATAAGTAAATCGCCAAGCCTTTCTTCCTTATCTGCCGTAGTCTGGAGGCTGTGCTGAAATCCATTCTTCATGGATGACTCTGCTGATGTCTGAAATCCTGATGTAGTTTTTAGCATCATAGCAACACACAAGCCACCACAGCACAACAGACATATAAATGGCTCTTGTAGCGTAGTGGTTACGAATCGGGCTGCGAACCGCAAGGTCAGCAGTTCGAGACTACCAGCTGCTCCGCGCGAGAAAGATGAGGCGATCTGCTCCCGTAAAGATTTACAGCCTCGGAAACCCTGTTCAGGGTCGCTATGAGTCTGAATGACGGCACTTAACAACAACAACAACAACAAGGGTTACAGGAAAGCCTATGGGGACCGTTCTCCTGTTACACAGAGGGTCACTATGAATCAAAGTCAACTCGACAGCACAGAGCGACAACAGGACACCACAGGGCCAGGTCTAGGACTTCAGAAACCCTTAATTCACGTTGCTTTTTCAACACATGCAATGGCTGCTCCTATGCACTTCACTAAGGAGCGACACATACTATCTTTGGGGACTCCCCTCCCCTTCTCTTGTCCTGTTTCCCCACTGCATAGTACTGGGAAGTCTGTCTCGTCAATTCCAGGCTCCTACCTACCAGCTGTTCCGCAGGGAGGCGGGGAGATGAGGCTTTCTGCTCCCGTAAAGACTTACAGCCTCGGAAACCCTGTACAGGGTCGCGATGAGCCGGAACCGACTCCACAGCACATAACCACCACCACCACCATCTGCCCAGTGCCACACATTTGTCCAAAGTTCCAAAGCAGAGTCTCATTGGGCTATCTCAGGTCATGTGACGCTCCTGAACAAGTTGATGCTGCCATTGGCTGGGCTGTCGGTCATGTGAGCAGCTATAAAACCAAGAGATGGCGTCAGCCCCCTGGAACTCTGGTCATAAGCGTTGCTAGGTTGATTCCAGTCTGGATCCTCCTCTTACAGGAAAGGAGAGCTCCTTCCCAAACCTTCTCTTGAGGCCCCTTCCCCCCCACTCCACATGCCACGATCCTGACCTCCTCTCACCGTCTCCCCCCAGGCCCCAAGCAGGATGCTGAGGCAGCCAAGAAGTTCATCCTGGACATGTACACCCGCATGTACACCGGCTGCGCAGATGACGGCAGCAAAGGCGGCGGCAAGAAGGGCCCTCGCTCCCGCCGTCTCTTCAGCCACTACACATGCGCCACGGACACGCAGAATATCCGCAAGGTCTTCAAAGACGTGCGGGACTCCGTGCTCGCCCGCTACCTGGACGAGATCAACCTGCTGTGACCCAGGCCCTGTCCCTCCCGGGCTCAGACCCGCCCTGCGAGCAGAGACGCACCGGGCAGCTCGAGGGGCGCATGCACCGCGCGGAGACCACGTGTTCCATCGGGTCCCAAGACTCCTTGTTAATCTCGGTCCCGGTGGCAGGAGAGCCATGAGCGAGCAAATGTAATGGGTGTAGGGGATAGAAGACTGGTGGCCGCGGTTTTCTGCCTCTGACTAGGACAGTTCTCCCTTCCTTGACTCAGTACCCCCGCTTGGCAAGAGAGCAAAATGGCCACGACTGACGCCCGAGGGGGAGGGGGAACCGACAGCCGGTGAGATGAATTTGACTCCTAGCTACCCTGTGTAGGTTTCTGAGACTGTAAATTTTTAGGGATGCAGAAAGCTTCCTTTTTCTCTTGCGGGGCAGCTGGTGGATTTGAACTATTGACCTGACGGCTAGCAGCCCAACGGGTAAACCACTACGCTACCAGGGCTCCCTCCAGAGCCGAAAGAAGGGTGAAAAAGAAAAAGAAAAAAAAAGCAGAGGCTCAAGACTTGAGTGGGTGTGTCTCGAAAGAAAGTCCTCCAACCTCAGGGGTCTCCTTCTACGCAGTGGTCTGGGACCCTTGGAAGGACGCACACTGTAGGAAAGGGGCTGTGGTTCTTCAGGCCAGAGGTGCAGACTCTGGCGCCACTTAGCGGATACAAAGAAGCAACGCAGGGCCCTCCCTTCCTAGGGACACGGAGGAATGCTATTCTTTTTGTAGATTGCCCTTTGCCCTC